AATCAGCCAGGCATGGTGGTGGGCACCTGTAATCCCAGCTACTGAGGAGTCTGAGGTAGTGGAATTGCTTGAACCCGGGTGGCAGAGGTTGCAGTGAGCCAAGAGAGCACCATTGCACTACAGCCTGAGTGATGAGCAAAACTCCATCTCAAAAACATAAACAATTTACAGTTGACATGTCTGAAATTTTCTTTACAATACTTCAGAAAAAAGTAATTGAAAAGTGTGAATTGCTTAAAACTTTGGTAATGGGTATCTGAGAGTTCATATTATCCTACTTTTGTGTATGTGTGAAAATTTTCCCAATAAAACATTTTTAAGAGACATACAAATTTTCCTTAATGTTTTTGTCTTAGTGTTTTTCATATTTTTCTTATAGTTAAAAATATGCAATTATTTGCCGACTGGGTTTCAGGTTACCAGACAAGCCTAAGAAATGGACAGGCTGGTGGATGAAGGTGAAGAGGGCCAGGGATGGTGGCCATGAGAGCCCAGTGGCACCTGGACAACCTGCAGGCCCACAATGGGACAATGTGATGCCTAAAGACCAACAAGGGCCAGAGGATGCTAGGCTACCCTCCAGCCAGAGAATCCCTGCACTATACTGAAAGTTACTATTACTATTCCAATCCCTAAAATTACTTTATTATTTTACTCTCTTCTGCAATCTTTGATAAATCAAAATCAAGAAAATATTTTAAATGTAGGCCAATCACCATTTACTGAAGACACCTAAAATGCCCAATAGCAAGTGAGTTTAGATAATAAAATTAAAATCTTATTTGTTTCTGTGTAACTATTCAGGAGGTTTCCCTTCATGTACACCAATGTTTAAATCCTTAAATTAAAAACCCAAAAGTTAGAATATTGTTAGGTTTCTACCAATATAGAAACTGAATTTAAAGACAACCATAATATTAATTTGTTGAGCCACTTATTTATTGACTACCTTATTGTCATTGACAGAGTTACACCCTCTCGCCAAGGCTGGAGTGCAGTGGCTCAAGCACAGCTCACTGCAACCTCCACCTCCCATGCTCAAACTGTCCTCCCACCTCAGCCTCCCAAGTAGCTGGGACTACAGGCATGCATCACCATGCCTGGCTAACTTCTGCACTTTTTGGAAGACATGGGTTTCACCATGTAGCCCAGGCTGTTCTGGAACTCCTGGGCTCAAGTAACCTGCCTGCTTCCGTCTCTCAAAGTGCTGGGATTACAGGCATGAAACACTGCATCCAGCCGACTGAGCTACTTTAAAAAAAATGCCATGTGAAAACAGTACTTTTAAAACAAAGTTGTATCTTAAAAAACTTATACCTACCAGTTATAACCAAGAGTAGAGTCATAAAAGTTTCTGCACAATCTGGAACTTTCATTTCATCCACATCAGTGATATCTTTATATTGCGATACCCAGGCAGCTTCTGATGAAAGCATTGAGTCCATTTTTTGAAGAGCAACTGATAAGCAGAAAAAAAGGATTATATTGATTAAGTAGTTGCAGGCATTCCTAATTATTCAATTTGTAATTTTTTAGGAATGATGGCTTTTCTATTAAAAAAAAAAAAAAAAAAACCTACGATCTCCCACTAGTTGTATTAAATTTGACTTAATTAATGCTTTATTTTAAACAGGATACTTTACCCCCATCCCAAATTTTGAAAATAGTTGACTATTTAAGGTACAGTCAAAAAGATTCTACTGGCAAGTGCGGTGGCTTACACCAGTAATCCCAACACTCTGGGAGACCAAGGTGGGCAGATTGCTTGAGTCTAGGAGTTCACAACCAGCCTAGGCAACATAGCAAAACCCCATCTCTACAAAACAAACAAACAAACAAACAAATAGTATTCAGGCATGGTAGCACACATCTACAGTCCCAGCTACTGGGCTGGCTGAGGCAGGAAGATCACATGAGTCCAGGAAGTCAAGGCTGCAGTAAGCCATGATCAGCTTACTGTACTCTAGCCTGGGTGACAAAGTGAGACTGTATCTCAGAAAAAAAAGAAGAAATAAAAAAAATATTCTGACACTAGGAGGCCAAGGTGGACAGATCACTTGAAGTCAGGTGTCCCAGACCAGCCTGGCCAACATGTTGTAACCCTGTCAATCCTGAAAATAGAAAAATTAGCCAGATGTGGTACTGCGTGCCTGTAATCCTAACTACTCAGGAGGCTAAGGCGGGAGAATCCCTTGACCCCAGGGGGTGGAGGCTGCAGTGACCTGAGATCGCACCACTGCGCTTTAACCTGGGTGACAGAGCCAGAGTCTGTCCCAAAATAAATAAAATAAAAAATTCTACGATAAAATCTATAAAACAATTATATACCCCACTGGCTTTACTATTCCACTCTAGAAACACATAGAGTCTAATTCCAGGAAAAATGTAAGTTTCATGTGAAGTAAAGAAAAGATTATCTCTGAAGGAAACTCAGAAAACCCTGACAAAGAAAATTTCAGATGCCTCTAGTTCCCACTCAGGACCAGAAAAGAAAAATATCAAAAATTTATATCCACAGAAACAGACATCTCTCCCTACCCTCTGGCCACATCAGCACTTACATTTTCTCTCCACTGTCAACCATCTCTGAAAACAGGTTTCCTCTGAAAGAATATGCATACAACTAACAAAAGTGCCAGGATAGCCGTGAACACTGTGTAGCTCCCTTTCAAACAGGAGTACTTCATCCACCAAATGACAGAAGAGATTATCATCATATAGCAGACAAGGAATATCAGTGGCTAACTTCTCAAGAACCAGCATCATAAGGCCCCGGGAAAATTCAAGCTAAAAAAAAAATTTACAAACAGGTGTGTAAATAAAAAGTTATCCAGGCACACATATAGTTCCAAAACAGAAACACAGGACTGAGTCTCTTACCCTTGCATTTACCAAACAGCCTACTTTGTCTAATATTGGCTGAATCTTCTCATCCAGAAATTGAGTATGGTTTCCAATCCACATAAGTATTTGAGCCAAGTACCATTCTGGCTAAGGAAGGAGGAAAATAGTTTGAATTCTTAAGTCACTCCAATTAAAAAGTTATAATTACATGAATCTATTTAATTGTATATGCACAACACTTACAAATATTAGTTGAAAATTCCTGTATGTAAGAGCATAATTTCTACTCTGAATTTTTAACTCCTGCAAGGCTTAATAATCAAATGTTTGCCAATGTACTTCCAATAAATTTCAATAATGTGACTTGTCAATAAACTCATAAATTTACAATGCCACATATATTTAAAACCTAGCAGTTCATTAATATGTAAAATGAGTATTACAAAGAACTGATGGCCTATAAATGTTTTGAAATAGAATTTGAAAATAAATTATTATTTATTTATTTATTTATTTATTTATTTTTAAGATGGGGTTTCGCCATGTTGGTCAGGCTGGTCTTGAACTCCTGACCTCAGGTGACCTGCCCGCCTTGGCCTCCAAAGTGCTTGGATTATAGGCGTGAGCCACCACGCCTGGCCAATGAAAATAATTTTTAAATATAATTTTCTTAGGGTTTTCATTTTCAAAAAGTAAATTAAGAAAAAATTTGCTAGTCTGCATTACAAAAACTACAGGTCTTATACAGGTTTAAGAGCAGAAATACCAAGTAATTAATGTTTGCTTTGCTTTGTTTTGCAATGATAATTCAGTAATATCTGACGCCCAAGAGCAAAAATACCATATTTTCCTACAGTATATGAACACAAGTCCTCAATTATATGAAGAGAAGTGACAAAACAGGAAATTCGCCCTTTAGAAAAAAAACGGAAAAGTGAATAGAGTCAGATTTTAACTTAAATCAGCAATAGTACAGAAACTCTAAACATTTGCTAGTAATAAAAATGAACAAGAGCTGGCAAAACACACCTTGCTTAACACATTAGTCTGCCGGTTCCCTCTGAAGTGATACCTGAACCTCTTCTGAAGAGGAGTTAGCATAATCTGGATGGGCAGGATGACAGAAGGGGATGCAGGTAGAGAGTATTTTTCTGGGAGTTGTTTTGGCTCAGTAAGTAATTCATCTCTGACATAATCAAGTCAAGAAAAAAGCATCAAAAGCATACCTAATATACACACACATATGTACGTATACAGACGAAATAAAGTTTTACAACAAATGTATCAGATAGTAATTATTATGCAAATAATAAGTAATCTCACTTTATATTGAATATACATTGTTAAAATGCACAAAAAGCCAGGCATGATGATGGTGACTCACACCTGTGTTCCCAGCACTGTGGGAGGCTGAAGCAGGCGAATCACTTGAATCCAGGAGTTTGAGACAGGCCTGGGCAATATGGCAAAACCCTGTCTCCAGACAAAGTAACAAAAAGTAGCCAGGCATGGTGGTACATGCCTGTAGTCCCAGCTACTCAGGAACAAGAGGCGGGAAAATCAATTGAGCCTGGGCGGTCAAGGCTGCAGTGAGCCGTGACTGTACCACTTCACTTCAGCCTGGCTGACAGAGTGAGACCATGTCTTTAAAACACAAAAATGGGCCGGGCGCAGTGGCTTATGCCTGTAACGCCAGCACTTTGGGAGACTGAGGTGGGCGGATCACCTGAGGTCGGGAGTTCGAAACAAGCCTGAACAACATGGAGAAACCCCATCTCTACTAAAAATACAAAATTAGCCAGGCATGGTGAAACATGCCTGTAATCACTGCTGCACAGAAGGCTGAGACAAGAGAATTGCTTGAAACTGGGAGGCGGAGACTGCGGTGAACTGAGATGGTGCCATTACACTTTAGCCTGGGCAACAAGAGTGAAACTCTAAAAAAAAAAAAAAAAAAAAAAAAAACTGGCCAGGCGTGGTGGCTCACACCTGTAATCCCAGCACTTGGGAGGCAGAGGCAGGTGGACCACAAGGTCAGGAGTTTGAAACCAGTCTGATCAACATGCTAAAACTCTGCTCTAACAACAACAACAACAACAAAATTAGCTGGGCGTGGTTGCACATGCCTGTAATCCCAGCTACTCAGGAGGCTAAGGCAGGAGAATCACTTGAGTGGGGGAGGCAGAGGTTGCAGGGAGCCGAAATCACACCATACACTCCAGCCTGGGCGACAGAGGAAGACTCTGTCTGGGGAAAAAAAAAACAACAACCCACAAAAATGCTATCAGAATTAATCTATAAAACTTTCCTAAACTAGTAACAAAAAAAATTCAAGCATCATTTGATTAAATTAACACTGTTACTAAGGTTTCCTCCCAATTGCCCATTTCTTCTATCATCCCAAGAGACCTTTTTGTGCTATGAACTTAGATCAGTCATGCATCTTGAACTCTTCCTTACAGCCCTCCCACCCACATGCAATTCACTTTCTAAGAGTACAGTCCACCACTTGGTGGGCATTTACAGACCAAGTCCAAACACAGGATTCTTGTTTGGCTTTCCTGGCCACTTTGAAAAGGTTTTACTCTCAAGCCACAAATCCATTCTAGAAAGAAGAAATTTTAGTAAGTTTTCAACTGCAACAAAGATACGAGGTTTGTAGTTTCAAAAGCTGACAAAACAGTGTCTCCAGGTAACTGTATGTCTCCGGGGCACTGGCAGGTCGACTTAAGCCAACAGTTTGTGATTGAGGGGGTGCAATGAATGGCCAATGGAGCTGTGCTAAAATTTCCTCAAAATCACTGCAACAGAAAAGTAACACATACATTTCAGTACATCACCACCAAATGATCACCAAATACCCATCAGAAAGCAAGTACCACAAAATATGGGTAGTAAACTCCCTACCTTGTAAGTTTGTCCTTGAGAATTTTATGCCAGAATTTAACTGTGGCTCTCATGAAACCAAGAAGATGAGTACAGGATGATTCCTGAAGTTTGATGTCAAGTTCTGCCATAGACACTAGAGTGGAGGCTGCCTCTGGTACATTATTGGTCATCAGATATTGCTGAATATTATCACTGTAAACAAAGTAAAGCAAAATTTTTATTTTCTTTTTGAGATGGAATTCTCACTCTCTCACCCAGGCTAGAGTGCAGTGGCATGATCTTGGCTCACTGTAACCTCTGTCTCCCGGGTTAAAGCTATTTTCCTGCCTCAGCCTCACAAGTAGCTGGGATTACAGATGTGCACCCCCATGCCCAGCTAATTTTTTTCTGTTTTTAGTAGGGATGGTTTCACCATGTTGGCCAGGCTGGTCTCAAACTGCTGATCTCAAATGATCCACCCACCGCAGCCTCCCAAAGTGCTGGGATTATAGACTTGAGTCACCATGCCCAGCTGAAAACAAATTCAAAGAACAGATTGCTCACAATAATTTCAAATTTGGAAAAAGTTCTTCTTCATGTTTTATATAAAGTTATATTCAAGGAAGAATGAAGCACCACCCTGAGGTAGTCTTTGTTTTTTAACCTGATGACAAGGCCTCTCTGGGAGCCTAGAGTACTCCATTTCTGCATTCTTCTAAGAGCAGCAGCCTGCAGCCTATGTTCTGGAGACCTCCCAGGACCTTTCCCTTCCTCCTCCTCCTGACAGACCTGTTTTGTGTCACATTCCTGTGGACACTACTCATTTCTGATCAATCTGCCTTTTACAGAAGTCTTCAGTATCTTAATCCAAGGGAATAACGTGGGTAGCATCTGGTAAGGTCAAGTATGATGTTCTTCAATTGTTACCTACTTTGGGTAGCTGAACTTGATTTCCCACTTCAAAGAAATGTAATTCCAACAAAAACTACCATGTTTAAGCAATGTACAGGGGCAATGTACAGTGGCTCATGCCTGTAATCTCAGCAGGGGGCTGAAGTGGGCGGATCACCTAAGGTCAGGAGTTCAAGACAAGCCTGACCAACATGGTGAAACACCATCTCTTAAAAAAAGAAAAAAAAGAAAAAGAAATGTACAAATATTAGAGAAGAATTTCAAATGTACAAACACAGAGTATAAAAGTATTGTTTTTTTATTTTTTTTTGAGACAGGGTCTCACTCTGTCACCCAGGCTGCAGTGTAGTGGTACAATCACAGCTCATTGCAACCTCAGCCTCCCAGGGCTCAAGCAATCATCCTATCTCAGCCTCCCAAGTATCTGGGACTAGGGGTGTTCACCACACCGCCTAATTTTTTTTTTTCTTTAACAGAGATGGGATTTTGCCATGGTGTACAGACTCATCTCGAACTTCAGGGCTCAAGTGATCTGCCCAGCTCAGCTTCCTAAAGTGCTAGGATGACAGGTATGAGCTACCATGTCCGGCAGGAGTACTGCTTTCAAGGATGTAATGAAACAGATTTCCTCACAACACTAAAGCATAAATGACATTTACAGCATAGGAAAAGCCAGAGAAACAGGGTTCACTCAGAGTGATAGTGCTATCCTACAGTATCCAAGAAATAGAGCTAATACAAAGATACTAATTCTAGCAAGAAGAAACTGCTTTTAAAAAAGACAATGTACATCAGAATAAAATCAGGCCATTATGAAGAAATTTGGAGATAAAGAAAATCCCAGAATCTCTAAAGCAAAGCTAGAAATAGAGATATTATCATAAGACCTCAGGGAAAGAACACATTATTAAAGAGAAAAAAATAACTATCCTCTACTTGCTTATGAACTTGATCCTTATTTCTAACATAAATCCCTCGGCTTATTTCCCGTACAAACAATTCAGATATCAGAAAAGGTTACCAAGGCCAGGCACAATGGCTCATGCCTATAATCCCAGCACTTTGGGAGGCCAAGGCAAGCAGGTCACTTGAGGTCAGGAGTTTGAGACCAGCCTGGCCAACATGGTGAAACCCCCTCTCTACTAAAAATACAAAAATTAGCCAGGCATGGTGGCGTATACCTGTAGTCCCAACTACTCGGGAGGCTGAGGCAGGAGAATCGTTTGAACCTGGAGGCAGAGGTTGCAGTGAGCTGAGAAGATTGTGCCACTGCACTCCAGACTGGCTCGGCAAAAGAGCAAGAGTCCGTCCCAAAAAAAAAATAATAATAAGATAAATAATAAAAAAAAATAAATAAGGAAAGAAAAAAGTTATCAATAACCATAGTCCTATTTCAGTTAATCTATTACTTTGGCTACTACAAGTGTGAGGGTTTCAAATAACTTATTGTACTTAATAAAGTTATTAACATTGCCCCTTACTGGTATTTCCTTTCTCAGGGACAAGAAGAAAGAAGTAGCCAGGCGTGGTGGCTCACGCCTGTAATCCCAGCACTTTGGGAGGCCGAGGCGGGTGGATCACGAGGTCAAGAGATCAAGACCATCCTGGTCAACATGGTGAAACCCCGTCTCTACTAAAAATACAATAACATTAGCTGGGCATGGTGGCGTGTGCCTGTAATCCCAGCTACTCAGGAGGTTGAGGCAGGAGAATTGCCTGAACCCAGGAGGCGGAGGTTGCGGTAAGCCGAGATCGCGCCATTGCACTCCAGCCTGGGTAACAAGAGTGAAACTCCGTCTCAAAAAAAAAAGAAGAAAGAAGTAAAGTAAAGTAAAGAAGTAAAATAAAGCAAGGTTTAAAAAATTCCTTCATGGCAATACAATTTATCTAAATAAGAAGGAGATGCTCTAAAAAGTAAACTTTTTAGTCAATTTCTAGAATCAACACTATAATCTTAGGCGTATCAATTTATATGTAAAACTCATATATGCAAAACAAAGATTTCTATACTGTACTAATATGTAAATTCTTTAAAATTTTGGGAAATATATGCAGTAAAAATAACTGCATAAAATATCCATAACAAATGTAACATTATTAACTATGATACATTTGAAACAGGACATTAAAACCCTCAGATGACTTTTTCCCTCAGGCTTTTCAGGCAACATTACTGGTTACTGACCGTTTTGCAACAAGTACTAGTTAAAACAATCCAAGGATGGGACAGTACAATTTGGAGGGACTGCGGGACCTTATCATGAAACCAAAGAATCTACTAATCTAGGTGGAAATGTTATTTCAGGTTGTTTGAAAGGCAAAACTAGATACAATTAATGACCAGTGATAGCTGTTCAACTCAAAAAGAACAAAGGTCAAGACTTACTTCCTTTTTTGTTTTTCCTACACAGAGGTAACCGAACTCTTGTTATTCATCTAAGAAAACTGTGTACCTCTTATGATTCCCAGTGAAAAATATTCAAATTATAAAGAAAGCAATCCATTTTGTTAAGTGATCAGTTTTAAAAATTAAATAGGAATACCTATTACCAAACTGTGTGTTTTATTAATCTGGCATTACAAAAAATAGTCTTTATCATGTGTTCATATTTCAGTTATGAAACTTAAGTTTAACGTACTTACATTACCTTCTTTCAAATGCTAATTAAGCTTCCTGAAAAGTTTATGTTCATTCACAATAAAGGAAAAGAAGCATTATGATAATGCTATTTTCATAACTGATTAAAATTAATTATTATAAGCTTTAATTAACTCAATTATTTAATGGTGCACATGCACTCTTTAAGACAGAAGCCTCAAAGGAAAACAGTAATTATGAGAACAAAGAGGCCCATTTTACCTTAGTTCTTCAATTTGTGAAATCCATTTAAGGTAAGCAAGATGACGTTCGATCTCTTCAATCTGGCTAATCATGGCTCCAAGATCGTCCATCAAAGGCTGTGCAGTCAGCAAATGGCTGTTAATGGCACTGAAGAGATGAGTTTCCTGCTCCAGAAACTGATTAAGAAATTGCTTTGATTCTTCTGCATTTTTTAAGGCACTTTGAATTCTTTTAGGGATTTCTGATGAAATTGTAAGTACCTGACAAAAGAAAAAAAAAGACAGAAAACCAGCAATCAGATAAAGTTTGCTAATTTTTTTTTTTTTTTTTTTGAGAGGGGCTCTCACTCTGCTGCCCAGGTTGGAGTGCAGTGGTGCCATATACCTCACCACAGCCTTGACTTCCTGGGCTCAAGCAATCCTCCCACCTCAACCTCCCCAGTAGCTGGGACTACACATATGCACCACTACATTTGGCTCTGCTTTTTTCTTCTTTAAATATAAACAAGGTCTCACTATGTTGTCCAGGCTGTATGAAACCTTTTTTATTAGTTCAGTCCCTTCAAAATACATATTTGTTGTAACAGAACTGGAAATCATCCGTCAAAATCTTCAAAGGAAAGGTTTGATTTCTTCATCCCATACCAACCAAACCCAAACATAAAATACCGTTTTATATACATACAAACATCAGGAAGAAGTATGCCTTTGTGTTGAAAACAGTAAGTGAATCAAAAAAATAAGTAAAATATATATGCATACATACATATATACATACATGTATACGAAGGGACCTAACACACTGGCCCCTAGTAAGCATCTAGAGGTCTGCCTCCAGAGGCTCAGCAGAGGATCCAGTGAGAGAAAACTTATTAATACGTGCTCTACCTATTATTTCCCTTCAAAAGCAAACAAAGGGCCAAGCACAATGGTTCACACCTATAATCCCAGCACTTTGGAAGGCCGAGGTGGGTGGATCACTTGAGGTTCAGGAGTTTGAGACCAGCATGGCCAACATGGTGAAAGCCCATCTCTACTAAAAATACAAAAACTAGCCCAGCATGGTGGCATGCACCTATAATCTCAGCTACGAGGAAGGCTAAGGCAGGAGAATCACTTGAACCCAGGAGGAGGAGGTTGCAATGAGCCCAGACCGTGCCACTGCACTCCAGCCTAGGTGACAGAGTAAGACTCTGTCTCAAAAAAAAAAAAAAAAAACAGCAAACACAGATCTCATTCTAAAAGGCTGGGCATCTCTATTTTGCCAACGTCCCCCAGGTGATTCTGAACTAAGGCCAGGCTAAGAACCACTGACTTGGTGGGATGATATCTAGGCAATATCTTTAGAAATGGCATTTACAGGCCAGTGCAATGACTCACACCTGTCATCCTAGCACTTTGGGGAGGCCGAGGCGGGGAGATCACTAGAGGTCAGGAGTTTGACACCAGCCCGGCCAACATGGCAAGAAATACAAAAACTAGGCAGGCATGGTGGCACATGCCTGTAATCCCAGCTACTCGGGAGGCTGAGGCAGGAGAACTGCTTGAACCTGGGAAGCAGAAATAACAGCGTAGATTGTGCCACTACATTCTAGCCTAGGTAACAGAGAGAGAGAGACTATCTCAAAAAAAATAAATACAAATACAAAAATTAACTGGCTACGGTGGCACACGCCTGTAATCCCATCTACTCAGGAGGCTGAGGCAGGAGAATCACTGGAACCCAGAAGGTAGAGGTTGCAGTAAGCTAACGCCACCACACTCCAGCCTGGGCGACACAGCAAGACTCTGTCTCAAAAAAAAAAGAAAGAAAGAAAATGGCATCAATTAAATGCATTTTTCTTATAGTATGTGGGAAAACATATACAATTATTAGTCATCAGCAAAACACAAAGAACATTATAGAATAATTTCAATCAACAGTGATTACTTATTCTGTACCAGACACTGCGTTAGAAATATTCAGATAGTGCCGGGCGTGGTGGCTCAAGCCTGTAATCCCAGCACTTTGGGAGGCCGAGGCGGGTGGATCACGAGGTCAAGAGATCGAGACCATCCTGGCCAACATGGTGAAACCCCGTCTCTACTAAA